CGAGGACATGGACCTTCGGAGAGGCCTCGTCGTAGGGGTCGGAAGTTTCTGGGGGGGGCTTTTCTAGGGGAACAAAAAGTGTCAGAAACATAAAAACTCGGAGGTCCGCGCGGATTTCTCGGATCGGCGCTGGACCCCCCTCCCTGGCGCGCGGAGCGCGCCAGGGGCGGCGCCGGAGGCGCCGCCGGGGGGCCCCAGCGCCGATCCGAGAAATCCGCGCGGACCTCCGAGTTTTTATGTTTATGTCACTTTTTGTTCCCCTATTTTCAGAAGGCAGGCAGAGGCCCCCATGCGTGTCTTCTTAGATGGCCGCTCCTCGCAACCCACCCCCTCATGTCCGCCACCAGAAGGCCGGAGCGGACCCCCGCCGTCCCGGCGGCGAGGCTCGACAATCGAGCTTGGATGCTTCGGGGCCGTTTTTCGGCGGGGGACAAACCTCCCTTTAGTAGACCTCCCCTTAGTGAGAACGGCCTGGGACAGAAATCGACGCACCTGGACCCGCAAAAATGACGGCCGCGACGCCCCCTCGAGAACCGAAAACGGCCAATTCCTCAATCGACGTGTCAGGGTAGGAGGTCTATCCACCCCCGATTCTTGGCGGTTCGCGGCGATGTGGGGATTCCGCGACGCCGAACTCGCGCAGAGCAGACTGCAGGAGCACGCGGAGAGCGCTATCCGACAACAGGGCTGGCCTCGAACGACCCCCAACCTACAAAACCGAGAGCCGCCTCGCCGTTGCCTACATCGCCATTGGCGCGTCTGCGGTGCCCACTCGAGCAGCGCCCTCCACCGTACAAGTGCCCCGGGGGCGGTGTCCCTCCCGAATCCCGCCCGTGCGCCTCCTGTGGCAGGGGAGCAATGTCCCGGGGAGCAAGCAGTGACCACCACATCAAAACTCGGAGGTCCGGGCAGTGTTCAGCGCCGAGACCAGCTACTAAACGGCAGCTTCTTGCCCAGACGAGCAGTTTCAGACCCCCCCAGACCAGCTATTAAACGGCAGCTTCTTGCCCAGACCCCACTGGAACCCTCCAAGACAGCTCAAAGCAGACCCCCACAAATCAGACCATCCCTCTCTTACTGTGAAATCCGGAGTATGTACATTTCAATGTGTGCCCCTCTCTGTCATATGCGCGGCCGCTGTTGGGCAGGCGACATTCCTGTCTCGAACGGACAACGTCCGCAGCAGCGCCGCGAACGAACCCTGCTCGAAATGAGTAGGAGCCGCTGTCGGTCATCATGCCAATGTTGTCAGTTTTTTTCCGATCGAGCCGACCCATGGACTTCCCGCGCGTGCCTGCTAGCATACGGCGAACACTGCGTGACCAGCACAGCTGCCCGTTAACAGTAAGCTCGCAGTACGCGTGCCCGCTCGATCCACTCACTGGCATACGTCGCGTGGCCAGCGCTGCTGCCAGGAAATGTTCACACCACGTTCGGCTACACGCAGATGTGACCACAAGCAAGAGTGGCCCTAAGCACAGGGGAACAAACCCGCCCAGCGTCATAACGCCGAACAAAGAACGCTCACAATACAAACCTCGGGGGTCCGCGCGGATTCCTCGGATCGGCGCTGGAGAGGGACCCATCGTCGAGACCCATCGTCGGACTCGTCGTCGACGTCGTCGACGTCCTCGTCGTTCCTTCGTCCGTCCCCTCGTCGTCAAGGTTGTCGTCCTCCTCCTCCTCCTCTTTCTCCTCCTTCTCCTCTTCCTCCTCTTCCCCGTTCTCCTCTGCGTCCTTTGTCCTGGCCCTGACGACGAAGACAACCACTGGCCGCTGACAACGATCAAGGTTCTTTTGGGACCGTTATCCTCCAGAAGGCTTGCAATGCGGTCTACTGCCAGGACGATCGGAACGCACATAGCTGGATTCACATGCGGAGGATGAGCGTGCCTGGACAAACAAGGGATCAACGATGGAAAAACATACGGCCACGTGTGTATCAGAATCTCACCGTGGCACTCCTGCACATGGCTGCTTGGACGGCTCACTGACATGCGGTGCACTGGGGCGGCTTTCCTCCCGTATCCTTCCCGTATGACTCTCCTGGGTACCTCGCGTGTGTTCAGGCCCGCATCTGGTGCCCGTTGCATTGCCAGCGCTTCTCCCAGGACGCTTGCCTCGAGTTCGTGCTAGCTCGAGGCCATCACGCACATCGCGCTGCCAGCGCTGTCGGCGGGAAGTTCACTCCAGGGGCGTTGGCTCGTTTCTGGTACCCTCCTCGGCCCCGCTCTCGGGAAGCGCTGCCGCCTGCTTCTGCACCCGCAGCATCCAGCAGCTTTTCGAACCCTGCTCCTGCTTCAACCCTTGCTCCTGCTGCACCTCGGCTCCTGCTCCTGCCCGTCCTGCCTCTCGAGCTCCTCTTGCTTCTACTCTTCATCCTGCTCCTCGGCCAGTCTCCTCGTCCTCCACCTCCTCCTCCTCCTCCTCCTCCTCCTCCTCCTCCTGCGTAGAACCTAGAAGCAAGAACAATAAAAAAGCCCAGTCCACTTGAGGACCTCTTCCTCCCAAGCCTTTCCATGTCCCCCCTCTCCTCTTTCTGGACCCCCCCTTTCACCCAGTGCGGGCTGGCTAGCCGCCATTGCGCGTCCGCGATCCCGGCTTCCCGACTAAATAATTTACAACTCCTCTGGAAAACGAGCCGCCTGTCTGTAACCAGGCCCGTGCCCACGTGCCGTGCCCGGCGGGGCCGCAGGTGGCTTCGGGGAGGCGGCAGAGGAGGAAGAGAGTGGACGAGCGTACGAAGAGAGGCGAGGGAAAGGGGAGGAGCGGGAATACGGTTCTCGCCGTTGTGCATGGCTCTGTGCCCAAGCGAGGTTCTCTTCCTGTCCAATGTCTTTCGCCCTGCTGTTTCCCATCGTGCACGCACTCGTTCTATGCTTGTTTGTCGGATCGTTGCGATCAAGACGCGACGGCTCAGACAAGCCAACATTCGTCCAGCGCAACTGCGGGAATACTAGAAAGAGAGGTTGGGAGGGGGAGACGATGAGGGAGCAGACGAGAAGGGGGGAGGATGAGGAGGAAGAGGAGGAGGAGGAGGAGGAGGAGGAGAAGGAGGAGGAGGAGGAGGAGGAGGAGAAGGAGGAGGAGGCGGAGGAGGAGGAGAAGGAGGAGGAGGAGGAGGAAGAGGCAACCGAGTAACGGCGTCGGTGTGGTGGCGCATCGTTTCGCTATGACGTCAGGTACGCCTTACGTAGCCGCTGAGAGGGGAGGGAGGAGTTGGAAGACGAGGAGGGAGCGGGAAGGAGAGGATTCAGAGGAGGATTCAGAGGAGGAGGAGGAGCAAAAGGAGGCGGAGGAGGACCAGCAGGAGGAGGACGAGGAGGAGGAAAAGGAGAAGCAGGAGGAGGAGGAGGAGGAGGAGGAGGAGGAGGAGGAGGAGGAGGAGGAGGGAGGAGGATGGAGGAGGAGGAGGAGGAGGAGGAGGAGGAGGAGGAGGCGGAGGAGGGAGGAGGAGGAGGGGGGAAACATGGCCCTGGACCCCAAGCTGGATGATTCAGGGCCTCAGGGCTGCGCGGCTGCGAAGCTTCAGGACCGCGCGTTCGCGGGGGTTCGGCGTCGCAGGGCTGCGGGGCCGTAGGGCTGGGGCTCCGAGGTTGCAGAGTGCTAAGATTGCGGGCCCGAGGGGTCGTGGTCGCTAAAAATGGGTCAGGAGACGCTAGGCCGCACGGTGGCGGGGACGAGGGGCTGCGGGTTTGAGGCGCTGGGGGCTTCCGAGCCGGTGCGAGCCGATGGGCGCAGGGCTGAAAAGCGGCGGGTCTGCAGGGCCTCGGCGTTGCGGGGAAGCCCGGCTGCCAGTTGTGAGCAGCGCGGGGTTGCGGGGCTATTCGGCGGCGAGCGAGGGGGGGAAGTGATAAAAGGGGCGGGCGTTGTCAGAAGCCTCGGAAGCCCCCCTGGCCTTCTGAGAAGCTTCTAGGAGGTCCCGTCGCTTTCTGGGAAGTCCTCCTCCTCCTCCTCCTCCTCCTCCTCCTCCTCCTCCTCCTCGGGGGGGAGGCAGACGAGGCGGGCCCGCTTTTGACGGCCCGGAAGGCCTCGGGGCGCCCGAGGACCTTGTCTAACAGCCCTCTCCGATACCGCAGGAAGGCCGTCAGGCCCCGCAGCCATTCTGAGAAGGCCGGTTCTCCTGCTCACGTCCTCTCCTGAGGCCACAGCCGCTCACTGGCGCCTGAGCTCCTCCTCGCAGCCCCCCCAGATTCAGCAGAGGGGCAAAGGGTCCTCGTATGGGCCCCCCCCCGGGCCCCGATTGCATCGCAGGGCACGGGATGCCACGGCGGACCATGGCTCAGCACGGCAGGGATGCGAAGGAGGTCAGAATAGGAGCACGTCTGGGCTTGCGTGCCGCAGGGGGCACGAGGCATGGCCCCAGCCTCCTCTTGCTCCTATTCCTATCCTGCCGTCTCCGTTGCTCTTCTTCCTGCTGCTTGCTCATCCTGCGGCGACGCCTTCGCCGTGCGGCACGATTCCGAGATGTTTCACTATTCGCTCAGGAAACATCAGACAGTTGCGAGGACGTCTCGCGACACTACATGAGCAAGATGAGATGGACGGTGGGCAAGCAAACCAATGATTGGAGTAATACGAGGGTGATGAGTCGATGAAGAAGTGCAGATACGTAGCACCCCACAGATGCGGATAAGAGTGAGGGGGCGGTGGGGACGTCGGTAGTCTGCGAGACTCTGGAGAAGCCCGCCGCAGGCGCCAAAGTTTCACACATTATACAACGAGCCCGCCGCAAGCGCCGATTTTTTCTTCAAGCCAATGTGGATCGGTCGCGGGTGTGTCGCGGGTGGGTCGCGGGGTGGGTCGAGGGTGGGTCGCGGGTGGGTCGCGGGTGGATCGCGGATGGGTCGCGGGGTTGGTCGCGGGTGGGTCGCGGGTGGGTCGTGGGGTGGGTCGCGTGTAGGTCGCGGGTAGGTCACGGGGGGGGGGGGCGACGACAACAACAACAACAACAACAACGACAACAACAACAACGACAACAACAACAACAACAACAACAACAGCAGCAACAGCAACAGCAACAGCAACAGCAACAGCAACACCGCATCAAGCAGGGACAATGAATGACCGTTCGGACCCCTCACTCTGATAATGCTACCTGCATTCGTGCACGCTGGGCTAGTGACAATCAGATGTCGTTGATGTTGACCCCGGCAGACTCGTCAAACTCTACGCCATCCTCGCTGAGCTCGTCCACTATGTCCGTCTCGTTGATCTTGACGGTGTCTGGCAATTCGCCGTACGTCTTCAAGTTTCGAGCCTCGTCGGGTGTGTACCTCACGATGATGTCGCCCTTCTCGTCCTGGAAATCCCGCAGAGATACCAGCACAATGTCTCCTTGGTTGACCCACACTTTTTTCCGCATCTTCCCTCGGATGTGGCACAAGCGCTTAGTGCCGTCGAAGCAACTCACCTCGCAACGCCCATTGCCAAGCATGCGCAATATTTGCCCATACTCCTGGCCGTCCTCCTTGAACTCAAGCTCCTTCTTCACCTTCGTGGCATCGGCCTTGGCGCGCTTGGCCTTGTTCCCTCCGAGCTTGTTCTTTGGCATCGCTGCGGCGAGACGCACTCAGGGCGTGTGAACCAATGGCGCCGAGGCGTCCCTGCCGGCTCGGGCCCGAATGGTTGCCAGGCAACCCGTGAGCCAAAGAACATGATCGACCCAGGGACGACGACGACTACGAAGACGAGCCACTGCGCACACATTTACCACTATCACGTTTGCCACACAATACGTGCTAGATGTCCGCTTCCTCCCCTTCCTCCCCCTGCTGCTCCCTCTCCTCCTCCTCCTCCACCTCCTCCTCCTCCACCTCCTCCTCCTCCTTTTCCTCCTACTCCTCCTCCCCCCCTTCTTTTGTCTCAACCATCCAAGAGCCGGAGAGAAACTGGATCGGCAGGAAATCAACAGAGGCCAGCTGCCACATCGAATCGGCAGGAATCGGGTCGGGCGAACTCGAAATCGGAATCGCAAGTCGGCATCTCTGGATCGGCAGCCGGAGGAATCGGTTCGACTCGAGCCTGAGGAGCCTGGAAGACGCCTACTGGAGGCTGGATCGCTGCCACTCGCACTTCTGCTGATCTGTTTGGTAAAGCACGCAACCACACACAACCAGGGCTGCATCTCTTCCGGACACACCCAGGTCTGACACGGCAAGGGGAGGCGATGGCAGGAGATACTTATGCAGACCTCGGGGGCAGGCCAAACATACGCCACAATACGCAATGGAGAGAACAGGGTGGTAAACAAAACACGGAGTTCAGAATTCGGTAGTCATACAGCGAGTGAGTGAGGAACTCTGCGCTACCTATGTCGGAACTAACATTCCTTAGCGCCTCGTCTTGCATGGGAGGCATGCGCTACGCAGACAGGCACAGCCAGGCAACCGGAAGGAACCACGACACACGAATTGGGATGCAAATGTTCAACGTTCCCCGACGCGCCGTTGACGGCACCACCACCACAACATTTTGCTTCTTCCGGTACTTCGCCGCCGGGTTCCTGTCCAAGGCGTTCCTTTGCAAACACTTCGTCCTCGGCACCGCCTCATTCCGGGGCTTTGCCCCCTGCTGGCCTTGATGTGAGGCCCCTCCTTCTGCCCCCCTTTCGTTAATTCAAGCTGTGCGCGGCCCGCTTAGCTTCGACCGGAAGAAGTGCGCTCTCGACCCGCGGATCAAAAAAGCTCAACGTTCCCCCGTCGTGTAAATTCCCAAAACGATGCCTGCTTTTTTGTTATGAGTTTTTTATGTGTTCGTGATCCGCTTCTGGTTGTGCGTAGATGCTTTCGCCCCCGGTTTGGCCGCTGTCCCCCTCAGGTCCTGCTTTAGCGTCCTCTTATCTGTCTTTTTCCCGGCGTTCTATAGTCCGCAACCGCCGCTCCAGCGAGCTCTCATCGGTGGCGTCACTGCTGTCCTCACTACCGGCGCTAGTGGCCTTTTTAGGTTTCTTCTTCTTTCGGACGCCTCTAGCCACACCGTGACAGGCCACCACGCAAATGTTATGATTAGGTTAGGTTTTAGGTTTAGGTTTAGGTTTAGGTTTAGGTTTTGGTTTAGGTTCTGCACTCAGAGTTGTGTCTCTCCGACAAAGGAACTGGGCCTGGTCGTCCAACCGCTCCTCCTCCTCCTCCTCCTCCTCCTCCTCCTCCTCCTCCTCCTCCTCCTCCTCCTCCTCCTCCTCCTCCTCCTCCTCCTCCTCCTCCTCCAGCGAGAGCTTCTGCCCGCCCGACGCCGCCCGTCGCCGCCCGCCCTTGGCCGCGAGCTCGACGGCACGGGCCTCGCACTGTGAGTTGTTGCTGGCGCAGTGCGCTGCTTTGCGCTGCTGCACGCTGCACTCCACTGCTGCGCGTTGCTGCGCGCTGTTTTGCACTGCATCGCATTGCGTTGCATTGCATTGCATGTCGTTGCATCGGATTTTTTTGCAAAGAAAACAACTAGTATACAACGACGGCGCTGCAACGGCAGGGTGCACAGGTCACGGAATACCTCATGGAGGCGGCTCCCGTGTCGACATGAAATGGCAACGAGAATAACACTTGAAACGGAGACAAAACAAAAAGAGAGTGCCGGCAGCAAGGATGACGGGAGGGCGAAAAGGGAGGGCGAAAAGGGAGGGCATGTCGTTGCATCGGATTGCCTTGCTGTGTGTCGCATTGCGTCGCGCTGCGTTGCATTGCGCTGCATTGCCTCGCATTGCGTTGCATTGTGTTGCCTGACATTGCAATGCATTGCTCTGCTTTTCTTTGGAGTCGGCTCGCGCTGTTTTGCATTGCTTTGCGATGCTTGCATTGCTTTGCGTCGCTGGGCGTTGTTTTGCATTGCTTCACATTGCTGCCCATTGCCCTACACTACATAGAGCACATCGATTGCACCACCTGGTTTGCACGGCGTAGATAGTGGGAAACCGCTAACCCGGGTTCACGATGGCTACCACTGTACAAGACAAAACGCGGCCTCCTCCCCCACGCGTCCCTCCCCCAACCCCAGGGGTCTGCCGCCCCCTTCTCGCCACCGTGGGGAGCTGCAACACCAGATGGCGGGGTGAGCAACGTGAGTATCAGTTGTACCACCCTGCCCATGATGCTGGCAAGTTGCCACGCCGCGCGGGAAAGGTGTTGCGAACGACTCGGCAACTCCTGCTTCTTGCCTAACAGCTGGTGCGCTACGGCTTGCCAACTCGAGCCTGGGGCCTCAGTTCTGCCCTCAGCAGCTCAGCAATGCATCGTGCGAACTCACCTTGCGAAGTGAGGCTGGCGTTGTCCATCTCCGCGCAAGTCCCCTCCCCTGAGGCGTCCCGATCTTTACCAATACGGCGTCCCCGGAAGTCCCTACCCTTTCCGCAGAACTGGCTTCTCGTCCCCAGATCCGGCTTCCCCATAGCCGGCGTTTCCCCATTGAACTGCAGAAACTAGTCGATTGAAAGGTCTGTACCCCTCAAGCACTCAAACTTGTGTGCATCCTCATTGCATATTTGCATATCCACCATGCTTTCTTCAAATGTGTCAGCATCCATGTTTCACACCCGTCCTCTTTCCTTTATGCACATTGAGCTTTTGCTACCCCTGCTCATGTGCTTGCGCACGCGCTCGCTCACCAAAAAACATGTTCTCCGCATGGATTGGTTGCGAGTCAGCTGCGCATCCACCACGCTCATCTTCGGTGGCTCCCTACATTTCCTGTCCCGCATGGTGACGTCCTTCCAAGTGCGCGCATCAAGCGCCTGGACGGTTTCGATCTGGCCTTGGTTGGCGGGCAAGCGCTGCCTGCGGCACGGGTGCTTCTGCCATCAGTGAGGGTACCCGACCTCGACCACAGCGTCGGCGCTTGCAGACCCCACCCATGCTGGATTTGGGGAAGTGAGCTGAGCATCGAGGCTGGCCAGATTGTTCGCCCTCTGGCCAGTCCATACCGCAAAGTTCTTACCAAGACACAACCAGCAGACAATGCAAGCTATCACATACGACATGCCCCAAAGAAAACCAACATCATGAACACATCGGAAATTCGCCGGCCCAACGGGCCAGGGCGTGCTAAGATCTCCGGTACCTGGTTAACAGTATTTCTAGTTCGCGCGCGCGGGGCGGCCCCTGGGGGTCCCTGGGCGAAAAGAACCCCGGCAAGGTCCCGGCAAGGTCGGGTCAGAGATGCCGGAGTTCTGTTTCGGAGTCCAAGAGGGCTCCAGATCGGTCCAAGAGGGCCCCGAGAAGCTTTCTAGACGGTCCAAGAGAGACCCGAGACGGCCAAAGATCGCCCGAAGACGCCCCAGATGGCCCCAAAACAGCCCAAGAGGCCTCCAAGACGCTCCAAGGGCCTTCCAAGAGGCCTCCGAAGAGGGCCCCAAGTTGCCAAAATCGTTGAATTTCATATGTTTTTTCGATGTTTTTTTGCGTTCTGGCCTTTTCGCTTCCGGACGCTCCAAGAGGGCCCAAGAGGCCTTCAAGACTGCTCCAAGACGGCCCACGAGGCTCCCAAGACGGCCCCGGAGCGGCCCAAGAGCGCCCCCCAGACGGCCCAAGTGCTGCCCAAGGCGGACCAAGAGGCCCCAAGACGGGCCCAAGAGGGGCTCAAGAAGGGAACCGAGAACTGAAAAATCGAGCCCTCCGCCCCAGAAGGCGCCCAGGACCCCGAAAGAGGCCCCAAGAGACTCTCCAAGACACCCCCAAGACGCCCCAATAAGCTCCCGTGAGGCCCCAAGAGGACCAACAACGTCAGGCCCCAGGCCCCAAGAGGACCAACAAATACCGCCAAGAGCCCGCCGAAAGCCCCCCAAGAGACCGTCACGAGAGCTCAGGAGGCCCCCTGGAGGCCTCCCGAGTTCTCCAAGAGGCCTAAAAAGAGGCGCCAAGAGGCCCCAAACGGCCCCACCGAGGCTCCAAGAGGCCACGAACGCGCAAGCAAACGCCTGCGATGGCACAATACGGGCCAGCGGAATGAGCGAAGCGATTAAATAAACATAAGGCCAGACGAGAAATAAATTTGACACTGCGATCAAGAACATGTTGGGCTCGGCGGGCATTCCGACTGTCTCAGGACCCAAGTCTTCCACCACCTGTGGCGATGCAGGAAGGTTATGGTGCATCGCTCCGCTAGCAGTGCAGGTCGAATGTGTGTTGTGCTGGAGCCAACACGGCTTGAGCCAAACAGGTTTAAGCCAAAATGGCTACGGATAGCCATTTGTTGCTCACTGTGCTTCGCTCTCCTGGAGCCGCTCTGCACTTCTTGAAGCTTCTTGAAACAGTCTGGGGCCTCTTGGGCCGTCTTGGACGCCTCTTCAGCTGCTGTGGCAACCTTCTGAAACCCTCTTGCGCATGACGTCCGAAGTATGGGTCCGAAGGCATGTCCGAGACAGGATGCGGCGGGGACACTCGGCAAGAGCACGCGAGGCGCCGTTCAGCGACAGGGTCCTTCTCGGCTGCGCCGGCGTTGAGCAGCCACAAGACTTCGGGGACGAGGACGGCGGCGTTCGTGATCAGAGACAACGCCGCGACATGGGCAGCCGAAACGTGAGGGAGGGGACCGCGGCAGAGCTAGCCTGGCTGGCGGTGGGGGGCGGCAGTCCTTCGGTCGGACATGTCCTCCTACCAGCGTTGTTTCGGCGGCTCCTGGAAGACAGATAAAAAAAAACATGCCCAAGCATAGTCACAAGAGCAAGGAACATCGTCGCCAGACCATGTTTTCCTATTCTTGAGCGTTCCTGCTGTAGAGGGACACGCCAAACTCAAACCTAGCCTGGCTGGCCGTGGCGGGGGGGGGGGGCGCTCCTCGGCTGCTGGCGGATGGCAGCGGGGGGTGGGGCGGGAGTAGGAGCCACCTTGACAGGGGGAGGAGGGGGCGGGTGGGGGGCGACAGAGACACACGCGAGGGGGAAGAGGAGGGGGAGGGGGGGAGGAGGAGGAGGAGGAGGAGGAGGAGGAGGAGGAGGAGGAGGAGGAGGAGGAGGAGGAGAGGAGGAGGAGGAGGAGGAGGAGGAGGAGGAGGGAGAAGGAGGAGGAGGTGGAGGAAGGGGAGGAGCCAGGAGAAGCATGGGGGCCAGGGCGAGGGGCGGGAGGGGCGAGTGGCAGGAGCCCAGCAGGAGGACGGGGAGGAGGAGGGCGGGGTGAGAAGGGGAAGGAGTTGTGTGTGTGTGTGTGTGTGTGTGTGTGTGTGTTTGATTCGACACGTCGCATCGCAAGGGCTAAGACCAGCAAGGTAGGGAGGAAATCGCTGGAAGGCCCTACCCCCAAACGGGGAGAGGGCACACCAGCAACTAGCTCCCCACCTCACCAGTCGAAGCCGAGGAACCACCGCTGTCCACAGCACAGGTGAAGTCCGCAAGAGGCACCAGCTCGTCAAGCAACACATCCCTACGCAGATTGGTTGGGATGGATGCCTCTTCGAATGCGAGAGAGGTTGCCACGCGTGTGGTTTGAGGAAGGCCCGCCCTTGCAGGCCTTCCCAAGCCCACCAAGCCGCACTCCCTCGGAGACACTGCCACAGTCCATGCAGCAGAAGAGGGTGACCCCATCAGGGGTACCAGTCAGATGAATGTTGTGCCCCTGGGGCTCCTTAACAAAGGCACACAACACAGGGTTGAACCCGATACAATCAGCAGAGGGCTGCGGAGGGTCAGAGCGCACGCGGATGAGACAGCGCGCGCAGGCCCACAGGCCTCGAATCCACCTGAATTGGTGACCTCTCTCTCTTCGCTGGGGCGCCTGCGCCCCGCCAGCAGTGGGCACGAGGGACGGTCCCACAGGGCCCCCAGCCGAAGCAGAGGCAGGTGGCGGGGGGGCACCCCGAAGGGGAGGGGAGGAGCTTGGAACTCCCGAGCCAGCCGCGCCCAGCACCTCGTCGGCGGCACTGACGGTGGCGGCTCGGGCGGCACTGCCTCCAGCAGTGGCGGCGCTGGCAGCTCCAGCGCGGGACGTGCCTGCCCTGCCCAATCTCCTGCTGGGCCTGGCAGGCGCAAGACTTGACCAGTGCAAGAGATCCTTGGCCACAGCAATCAAGAAACCCTTCAGACTGGATGTTTCACGGTTAAACTCCGAAAGCTCGTTCCCCGACGGACGGGAGCGGGTCATCGCAACCGCCTTCGCAGCCACGTCAGCCCAATGATTTCCTTTAGCCTTGTACCAGTCCAAGGAAAATATCTCGAAACAATCAGCACTCTGATGACCTTTCACTTTCGTGATAGCAACTGCATCTTTCCTGGGCAGGTGCCTCAGAGCTCGGGGAACAAACCCAGCGCAGTAAGCCCTTCTGTATGCGACAACTTCTAAGGGCTTTTCGTTCACGGCCACAAGTCCTTTGTAGTCTTTGCAGAACTCAGACGCCGAACTCGCATGCTACATGCTCCGAAGCAGGACCCGTCTGTGGCAACTTGGCTCCAACCTTGCCCGAGAGAATGGCGTAGGGTTCCCCATCTGCCTGGGGACATACGCATGCCCAGCCTGCACAATGATGGACTTCGTGACCTTCCTTAAAGCAGGAACCGTCGTGAAAACACTTCTTGTTTCGGAATGCCTCCAAGGGAGTCAAGTTAGGGTCAACACAGAAAAAGGAATAGCTTTCGCGCCCGAGGCCATCAGGCGGCCCCAAGATATTCTCAGAGAGAGCGTGATCCACCGCCGCTTTACTGTGGAAAATTGCCAACCTTTTCCTCCGGAGCCCGGGAATCTCCCACCCCCCCCTCCGAAAATCCCCCCCCCACCCCTGTTTGTTTCGGGGAACCCCTCCTCCCACCCCCCCCCCCCCCCCCCCCCCCCCCTCCCTCCCGGGCAAAACCCCCCTCCCTCCCCTAAACCCTCCCCCCCCCCCCCCCCCCCCCCCACCCCCCCCCCCCCCACCCCCCCCCCCCCCCCCCCCCCCCCCCCCCCCCCCCCCACCCCCCCCCCCCCCCCCCCCCCCCTCCCCCCCCCCCCCCCCCCCCACCCCACCCCCCCCCCCCCCCCCCCCACCCCCCCCCCCCCTCCCCCCCCCCCCCCCCCCCCCCCCCCCCCCACCTCCCCCTTCGAAAACCCTCACGGGGGAGGGGCAATAACGGTTAAACATCGGAACCACCCCTCCCCCCCCCCCCTCCGGATCCGGAAAACCGGGGGGGGTCACTACCGGTTGGACCCCCCCCCCCTCGAAAACCGGAGGGGGATCACTACCGGTTCGACCCCCCTCCCACGCACCGCCAGCAAACGACTCCCAGTCCCTACCACCGCTCGCATCACATTCCCCCTGTTGTTCCCAGCACCACTGTCCTCACCACCACTGTCCCCACTGGTTCCACCACCGTCCCTATTGTCCCCACCAGTGCCCCCACCACTGTCGCACTGTCCCCACTGTTCCCGCAACTGTTCCCACCACGGTTCCACTCTCCCCACTGTCTCCACGGACCCAACCACTGCCTATCCCCACTGTCCCCACTGTCCCACTGACTCCTCCGCTGTCCCACTGAGCTGTCCCACTGTTCCCACCACTGTCCCCACTGTCCCCACCACTGTCCCCACTGTACCTCTGTCCCATTGTCCCACCGCCGTCCTCGCCACCGCCTTTACCAGTGTCCCCACCACCATTGTACCCTCCACTGTCCCAGTGTTTCCACCTCATTCCCACTGTCCCCACACCACTGTCCCCACCACCACCGTTCCCACCACTGTCCACTGTCCCCCCTGTTCCCACCATTGTCCCCACCACTGTCCCCACCACTACCGTCCCCACCCCACTGTCCCACTGTCCCCACCACTGTCCCGCTGTCCCCTCACCACTGTCCCCACCAACACCGTCCCCACCACTGTCCGCACCCCCACTCGGTTTTCGAGGGGGG